AAAATAACCTGCAATGAGCCGTGGTGGCTCAGGGGATGCAGCGTTCGACTTCTAATGAGGTGAACTGGGTGCGAATCCCAGCGATAGCTGGTGGTTACGAATTCCGCTCCCGGCTCGCACAGACGACAGTGTCTAGGTAAAATGTCCTCAGTGGTGGAAGGATAATTGGTTAGAGTTCCCTTGCTGTCAAGCTAACCATGGAGAGTTTTCGTGGTTTTCCTCTCCATGTAACACAAATGCGGGTTAGTTTCATCAAGAAGTCCTCCACTTGATCCCAATACTTGATCGAGTTCCCTTGTCTTCTGGATTACGCACCCTGTCTACGCTACGCACCCTGTCTACGATTAGCTATTAACGAGGCATCATTAATGTAACATACAGACTGATTGATAGCTTCTTTATTCAATTGTTTTCTCTTTAAACACTTAATACACATATTTCAGAACCAGAATCAGTTAGAATACGAGCTTTCTGCTATTGCGAATATTTTATCTTTTATATCACCAATCACAGTAGATAAAATAAAACTTTTAGTGTTTTGACTTAGATTTGTGGCGACGAAAGGCTGATGACACCACTCGGGAGTGTGGGGCGATTTGAGCAGAATCGAATTCATTTTCCCTATAGTGACTTATTTACGACATTTTTAGACTCCATGTTTTTCATTTCTTTCGCGAAGGGAAATTAACTTGTGAGCTTTGCCACAGAAACAATTTTTAAATGAACAGTTTTTTACAATGGAATTTGGGGATAAACATTTTGATCTTTAACCACGTCTATTCGCTCATACACTGAAAGTCTTTTAAATGTATTACAAATATATAATGGATGTTTTTCGTTACTCAAACACATATCGCAGGTCGAGTAGCCAAACCATTAAACAAAAAATAAGCACCTTTTAAGCACTCAAAATTTATTTTTAAACTCTATATACATTAACATAATGCAAAGTAATTTTCAGGGCCGGGATAGCCTGGTTGGTAGGACACCGGGACCAAGAGGTCGTGGGTTCGATCCTCGCCGGCCGAAGACTCCCCGTGTAGTAAATGGTGACTGATGCACGTTAAATCTGTCGAGTCTCAAAGTCCTCCATGTTCCCATAACAAATCATCCCTCTGGGGGGGATCCAGGATTTTCCTTGTCTTCTAGATTGGTTCAAAATTACAAGGCTACGGAGATGAACATTAATTGTCGCAAACCAAAATTGGTTCGGTTGTTCAACGACGATTATAAGATAAAATAAAATAATTTTCAAAGACTTTACATGATCATGATAAAATAACTAGCTTCTGGTAAAGAACTCTTTTTCTAGATTACATTAGCCATTATAAAATGGTCAAAAGATTTTTCGGTTCGATATCAGAGGGGGAAATATGAAGCCTGAAATTGAGTATATCTTGGAAAATGCAGCAGAGTTCAATAACCTCACCGAACCCAGCTCAGTAGACGCGCATGCAGACTCACAAGTATTTCATCAATCATGTAAGATGATTGGTGCTTTCATACGCTATGGACAGAAGGTACGCCGAACTGGATTGTGGTTGAATAAATTGTGAACTCGTCGAATACAACAATGTGATTGTTGTTGTAGTTCACGTACGTCGCATAGAGCTGCACAATGGGCTATTGGCGACGGTTTGGGAAACATCCTAGTTTCTGGCAAAGAACTCTTTTTCTAGATTACAATACTGAGGAGAATCCAAAGACATGCTATCACAATTTTGATCCTCTGCAGAGGGGATGGCACCCTCGGTAGTCCGACGAACTGCAAGCGAAGTCGAGCACTTTACGGCAGAACAGTTTAACGAGGACTCATACCGCACACCCTCGGTCCCTACGCAGACTGATCCAATTGGTCACCCATACGCACACTGACCGCAGCCAGTGATGCGTGACTTTGGTGATCTGCTGGGAACCGTGTCTTAACGATCAGTCCACTGCGGGACAAAACAATGTGAAAAGCCCACTATACTTGACGAAAATCGACATAAGAAAAAAAAATGTATTTTTCAAACAGGAAAAATTGAGCACTTTTTAAAAACACCCAATGTAAAAAGCACCTTTAAGGGCTTTTAAAAACGAAAATCGGAAATAAGCACTTTTAAAAAACGCTACTCACCATGATATCTTAATTATTATTTTTCTAATCATTGAAAATATATTTGTTGTTATAAACCCTTAGTTCAGTTCTTTTCTCAGCTATAATTTTCCCTCAAGTTGTAAAATATAGGTCACATTCCTTTGCTAACTCAAGAGGTTAAAACTATTTTTCGGTCTGCCTAACGTTAATATATGAGGATATAATATCTCGATCTAGTTTCTGAAATAATCCATCTGACGCTATGAATTGCTTTAAAGTTTCAAATGCGTACGCTGACTTGTTTACTCATTAGAAAATATGGTTATTCGATACAAAAAATTTATATTCCGGTCCTTTTGTCGTAGTGGTATTTCAGAGATTTCGGGGAACGAATCTGTTCATATCATCATACGGAATTTTTGTTTCTTTGCTACCCTGCTAAATTTGATTTGATTTATTCGCATGCATAAAATGAAAATTCAATCAAACCCTTAATTTTATTCAATTTGACTTTTGTCAAATCAAAGAACAGATAGCACAAATTCGATAAAGTTACAATCAGGGTGAGAACGGAATTCGAACCCGATAACTCTGCGCTTCAAAGTATTCGGCAGGAGGACATGTATCTTGACTAAAACGATTAGAGAAAAGGCACAGACTTAATAGGGAAGGCAACTGAGTAACTAATGTCTCGAGCGGCAAAACAGAAGGTTTCAATTTTGTGTCTAAAGTTACTAAAAGATCTCAGCTCTTTAAAGGAGTGGAACCAACACCAACTACATGGAGATAATGACTTCAAGCCGGTTATACAACCGAAATCAAAATCATCACCTTCTTCGCACCACAAGCATTGAATGAAAGGTTAACCGAAGTGAACAGACAACAGCAATATGTGTTATTTATCATCTTACAATTTGGGGCAATATAATTTTCAAATCTTTACTTGAATATAATGTAAAGTTAAGAACTGGAACAGTACAGGCATGATTCAACGGCTGGGGAGCGTGGTGCAAAGATAGGGCGATTACTTTCATCTGTCCGATTTAAACTGTGGTAGTGTAATGTGCGTGAATTCGAATTATGAGTGAGGATGAATCGCAGATCGTCACCATTAGAACAGTAGAGAAGCTCTAGTGTGATTTTAACAACCAGACTATTTTATTTTATATTATAACCGTCGTTAAACAGCCGACCCAATTTTTGGGTATACGACTTCTGATGTTCAACTCCGTATCCTTGTAATTTAAAATACAATCCAGAAGACAAAGGGGATTCCTAGATCAAGTATTGGGAGAAATTTTGCCTTCGTGGAGGACTTTTTGATGGAACTAACCCCATTTGCGTTACATGGAGAGGAAGACCACGAGAACCTCCCATGGTTAGCCTGACGGCAAAGGGACTCTAACCAGTGATCCGTCTACCACTGAGGATATTTCACGTCACCAATGTGGTTGGTGCAAACCGAATGCGGATTCGTATCGACCAGTCATTGGTGGGATTCATAACCGGTTCACCTCATTGGAAGGCGAACGCTCTATCCCCTGAGCTCAACAACCAAACTGTCGTCTATTAAAATATTGTATCGTTCTATAAATTTATTTATTATCTTCACATGCATATACAAGATTTTATGCTAATTTAAAAGTACGATTTATCAACCCTTGTCAATATCAAGAACAAATAGCCCAAGCTTGATATGGGCAGATGGGTATTTAATTTACGTCGTACTAGAGCTGCACAACGGGTTATTAGCAACGGTCTGGGAAACCTCCCTAAGGATGATTTGAAGACCTATCATCACAATTTTAATCCTCTGCAGAGGGACAGCTTGCACCTGAAGTCAAGCACTTTTCGGTAGAACAGTTTCACGAGGACTGATATCGCGCACAATCGGTTCATACGCCGGCTGATCAAAGCGGTCACCCACCCGCTTACTGACCTCAATCAGTAATACTTGACTTCGATATTCTATTGGGAACCGTGTCTTTACGATTAGTCCACTGCTGGACAAAAACTCGCGAATGATATTGCAATGATACATTCAGGATGGCTGTGCAATCCGTTACTTCCAAGTAAGAGAGCGTTTGGTGGAATGGTGAGACCACTTATACGGGAAGGCCCCTTTTATCGTTCTGTAAAAATGTCTTATTTCCTCAGCAACTTTTGCCAGAATTTTTCCCAACCCCGAAAAGTCACCTTATCTTACCCAGCTCGCAGAAGATATATTACAAACGAATATTTTATTCATTGATACATGCATGCTTGTTCCCAATTACATGCTATACATTTAATTACGCAAGCACTGGTTTTAAGTCTTTATGATGTAGATACGCAGGTACTTTATTTACGTCACACTAGAGCTGCACAATTGGCGACGGTCTGGGAAACATCCCTGAGGATAATTCGAAGACATGCCCTCACAATTTTGATCCTCTTTAGAATGGATGACACCCCCGCTTCGGTTGCCCGACGACCTGCATGCGAGGTCAAGCACTTTATGGTGGAACATCTTAACTAGGAGCCATGCAACACACCCTCGGTCCTTATTCAGACTAATCCAAATGGTCACCCGCCCGCTCACTGACCGCAGCCAGTGATGCTTGAGTTCGGTTATCTGCTAGGAACTATGCCTCAACGATCAGTCCACTGCGGAACCTTTATCAAGTAGAAAGACAGATAGTACAATTTAAATAAGGACAGAACGAAGATACATCCATGGTAGGACGGGATTCGAACCCGCTACCTCCACACTACAGAACTTTTGGCAGGTGATAACGCTTGGCACAGGGAGGCCCCAAAGAACGCGAGTAGCGTGGATCCTCTTCACCATCAACTCAATTCGACTTTGATAGACAATAATTGCCAATCGTTATCGATATTAAAGGATATAAAATACGAGGCAAGACTTGTACCAACCGAGTTCTTCGAATCTCTGTTTTGTTGTTGTGAGTTTTTTTTTATGAGTTGGTAGACTCTTGTAGTTAGTCTAGTTTTAGATACAAAGAAGGATTATGATGTGTCTTAGAAGTCTGCTGTTATTTTTACAGAACTTTACAGTAAGTTTTTTTCTAATTTTCCCTACTTTGACATACACTTAAAGTTTTTCGAGATACTTGATGGTATGCTTGTAATTGTCTAAAATTCGGGATTGCTTTAAGTATGATTAATATACCTCTTTTATTAACTTGGTTCTTTTGTGAAATTTAAAAATGATTCTTTTTCGAATATTTTGATGGGATATTGGCTTATTTAAAGTATTACTTTAAAGATTTATCAATTTCGCTTAGTTAAAATTCTCTTTAGATTATTGAGTAAAAACGACTTGAAATAAAATTCCGATTTACTGTTGACTAAGAGCAATGAAACTAAAGTTTTACGAAACAATAGTTTTAATGTTTTGGATATATTTTTTCACAGGATTTAACGTGATTATTAGTTTTTAAATACTAGACATTGCACATACTTTCAGTACTATATCTAACAGTCTACTTTTAAAACTTTGCAATTTCCCCCCTCCAATATTGAATTGAATTATAAAGTTTTGTGACTGTTTCAAACTTAATATACTTCCCACTAAATTCCAAAATATTGTATATTCAAGCCTAATAATAGAGTTTGGTGTTATAAATTTTTTTTTAAAATTTTGGTCGCATAAACTTTTAATATTGTTAAACAAAATCCTTGTGAAGCCCGAGCTTAGTTCGTTTCTACCTTAGAATACTGAACTCACTATTTACCTGATAAGATGAGTTCGTTTTTCACCGATAATGACTTCAGTCGAGTGAGGGAAATGTGGGTGGAGGTTTTGGGATATATCATACTGTAAAAGACTTGTAAAGTGTATGTATTGAAAATCGTATTTTTATATTATACTAGTTAAATTATATTTAGCTTCAAAATTTTGTTTAATTGAATAAGATGTGTGCAATTCATTACCTTTTATGTGCATGCAAAAATTATAAATACATTAGTTGTTGCATTTAAAATGTTATTTTTGTAATAAAACCATTTTAACTTTTATAATAATATAAAGAACAAAATTAAAGAGTCAAATTTTTCATTTTTCGTCAATTTTTCTGAAATGTCACTGTTAAGGGGTTAAGCTATAATTTGTCTAAAGTAAGAACTCCGACTAGCCATTCGTCTGCACCCGTGGTGGTGACTATTGTAACGAGGTATAACTATTTCAAGTTTAGGTGTGGTGTCGTTGTTTAGGACAAGATTTGTCTCGGGGACATCAGTCTTAATATTACATATTTTTGTTACGGACATTTTAAAAGTTAAAAGCCTTTATTGAAACTCGAGAAAAATATTGCTTGGTTATTTCAAAGCTCTCAACATCTATTATAAATAACACTAATTGAGCAGTATAATTTATCAGTGCTTTCATCCATAGTTATTGAGCAAAATTAAAAATGTGCAATTTTTGACTCTAATTGTGATGTATAATTTTTATCTGTGGTTCGATTCTAGAAGTCAGTATTTCGCGATAATCTTACAGCGTCAAAACTATTTCATGTCTAGACATAAAACATAAACATTTAGCATACAATGTTTAACAAACTCCTATCATCGAGCTATTTCTTTTTAGCAATATTGCATGCTACAATGTAACTTACAAGCGCAGCTGTTTCTTGGATATTGTTTATCTTTGAAAAAATTTTGTCTGCCTAATAATGCTTTAAGACTTCCTGCGTTTTGTAATCTTTCCAAATCAAACATTGCTTCATAGTTGGCCTTCTTGTGCTTGGCTGCAAAATGTCTGTTAATGTTGTAATTTTTAATAACTGCTAAATATTACAAATAACTCAAACAAGCACTAGCTATTTCACATTTAATAATTTCAATATTTACAATAACGTTATATGTGTGCAATATATCCATACGCACTAACGTTAGAGCTGGCGCCAGCAGAAAAATCTGCACATTTTATGCTCAAACGAGCTGTCTTCCACATGTGAAGTGCAATTCATCCACATTACATTCCGTATGTCTGCGCTTCTAGAAACACTCGTTGACTCCAATCTTCGGCTATTCTATTGAACTTCTGCTTTCAACATTTTACCAATTGAAGCTGTCTGCTATTACCATCAATTTATGTTTTGTGGAACAAAAAAAAAGTGAAAACGTCATCAGTACTTTGTTAAAAAAGAAGGAACAAATATAGCTTTAAACAAAGTAGACAAGATGCATAACGCATATTGATTATATTCGCCACGGATCGGCGATTTAAAATTCTATCCGCGGATCGGATAAAACTTCCCTGCGGGCAGTAGTTTGCCCATCCCTGCCCTAAAGTGAAGAGAAGCTACCCTCCTTGAAATGCGCTATTCTTGTTTCCATAGCAGCAGACGGCCTCAGACTTTCTGGCGGGGGTAGTTTTAACCGTAGACAAACTATAGGTTTAGAAGTCCAATTCGTTTTATTCGGTTTCGCTACCCCATATATGTGTCTAGGATCTTTCCTCTTCTCTTCTGTTTCCTTAGATCAGGGAATTTTAATTTTGTTATGCCGTTAATTAGTTCGTATGTAGTTGTGCAAATGTGACAACCTTCAGCCGGTGCAATTTTACCTACTGTACCTGGCCGTATTATTAAACGCATTTCAAGATTCTATGTAAAATCTTGATTATAACGTAATACGATACAGCATTATTGTTTTTACGCGACTGCAACCTGTTTGTACTCGTTTACGTTAGTGTATCAATTGACTGAATTAGACTATAAATTCGACGATAGGATAAATTAGGCTACATATTATATAAATATAGAATATTTATTCTATAAAGTCTTTGTATGTTATAATAATTAGACCAAATTATTAGACGCGCTGTAGTTTTTTAACATGTTTTGCACGACTTTATATGCAATATTTTTATATTTAAACACACATGTAATGGGCTTTATTTAGGAGATTTTTATATAGTCCTATTTGCATTAATAATTTTTTACCTTATTGCATAACAATGGTAATAAATTTACAAACGATGGTAAAAAAAGTGCAAACAGATTTCAGCTGCGTAAATATAATACAACTGTATCACTTGATAATTAAGATTTTACATAGAATCTTATAGTGCGTCTAATAGTTTGGCTAGTGACTGTAAACTAAAGATTTAGCCTGGTAGCTTATGTTATGTTGTTAGATTATACATAAAATGAAAATAATCTATTTCATGATTTTATTCGATGTTAAGAAATGCGCGGTAACTTCCTATGAGGTTGGGGAGTTTACTGCGTACTTTAAATTTCATTCGTAGGTCAACCACATCTAGCTACGAATATCAATCTAAAATTTCGTTAGGTTCTTCTGCAATTGTCAGAAACTAATAATTTTTTCAGGGCTTCTGAAATTAAACAGATTCGAAACAGTTAAAATCTCATTCAGACAAGAAATTTGTCAGAGAACTGTAAAATGAACCAAAATATTAAGTCTTTAATTTTTCCAATTCTTCTCAGAATTAAAGATTTTAATTTAACCTCCTGAATATATAATATCGAACTCTAATATTCTCGTAGTATTAGTTTAATATTATCTATCTATTAGTAATAAGTATGCAACGTTCATCAACGAGCTTACAGTATATTACGTAAAAGTATAAAAACATACTCCACTGTGTATGCAACTAATTTTATATTTTTAATGACAGGTTTCCTATTTTCTTGCAGGATCCAAGAAGCTACCTGAAAATAGATGTTGTTGGTCATCATTATCCGATTTAGATTGGGTAAGGAAGTTAAGAATTATTTTGATCTGATCAATGCATTGTTTAATAAAAATTTTATTCCTTGAGTCTACTGTTTAAGATTTCATCGTTAGAACGTTGTATTCATTGGCTTTATAAAACCTTTAAAATTTTTGGTCCATCTTTTGAAATCATATTAATTTTTTCGCACTCGCAAAGGAAAATGAAAGTAGACTCATAAAGACACTTGAGTATTTTTAAGCTTTGAAAATTTAACCTTTTTGTCTGAATAAATTAAAAGATTAAATTTTCAATTTATTACATATTATATAAACTTTATATAAAGACATAGCATTTTCTGAAAGTTTCGAGTTTTTGCTCTCAGAATTTTGTTACAATTTAAATGCATTTCCAGAACGTAGATTTGAAGATTTTTTACGCCATCACACATGATAATAGTTTACTTTAGACTTGCTTGAAACTTTGCATGTAGATTTTGTATAATGTTGGCGATGAACTAAGAGCTAGGGTGCAAGTGTGAATTAGTTATTTTTATCAAGCTTCAAGAATATTAAATTTTTCATTAAAAATTCAATATTAATGTGTAGTTAAGTCTCTTTTTGATATTATAAAATAGTCAAAAACTCGGGTAATAACATTAATTTAGGTATTTTGAAATTTAGGAATTAGAATTTACTGTAGAGCCGTTAGCGTGGCATGAAACATGTGTAGTTTTGAACTTATTTTGACTAATATTTTATACATTTTTAATCTTTACATTAAATTTAATTTTAAAAGTCTTAAAAAATTGCGTAAATCCTTCCACGATCAGTCTGATGGTAACGAGCTTATAAATCATGAACGGACTGAGGATATTTTACGTCAGAACTGTGGTCGGTTACAGTGAAGAGCAGAATTAGTATCTATCAGCCTATGCTAAGGTAGCAGTNCGGGGGGGGGGGGCACCACGGCTTTTAATTGGGTTTTTTTTAAGGCTACAGTGAACTACTCCCAAAATCGTGAAACTCTCTTAAGTCGATTTTCTAACTCTGACCATTTTATAATTAAATGATATAAAAAGCATAATAAAATCAAGAATTTGTAAAACATTTGACAATATTAGTGTTATTTTGCTTTTTATTAGGAAAAAGTTTTTCTCAATAAAAATTTTGCATTGAACTGAAAATTGATTTAGTTCCATGCTCTATAATTTTGACTATTCCACGAAACTTTTTTGACACTCTAGACCAGGGGTGGCGAACCTTTATGCACCAACGTGCCATTTTTTTCAAAAAATTGTTTAATGAGGTCATAGACGTGCCGTCAAATCATTTTGACTTTGTGATTATTGGGAAAATAATAATATTAAATACTATCAACTCAAATCTCTTTATTTACATTGAAAAAAAATGCATTTTTCCATGTCTTAAAACAACATAAAGTAACATCAGTCTGACTTCTGTTGTTGCAGATTAGATGACAAATAACTTATATTAGGTTGTAAGGTGTTAGTTTAAGCAGGACTGTTATTTTTTTTTTTGCTAGTTATTTATTGTTAGCTTGTTTTGCTAATCCTTGTTTTTTTGGTTATTAATTGGTTTTTGGAATGGTAAATTTTTTTGTTAATAATTGTTTCTTCGTTTTTGTTTTTTGTGAATTTCAATTTAATTGTTAATACGCTTTATAGTAAACTTTGTGATCGGTGACGTGCCCAGAATATTGTGTCACGTGCCATAAATGGCACGCGTGCCATTGGTTCGCCATCCCTGCTCTAGACCAATAAAAACTTTTGGCAACTTATTTTGAAATTTTCTCACTGCAACATATTTTATAGTAATTTCAATGTTCCAAAACGTTAATAAAGGGACTATTTTCATGTTTTTTTTGCCGAAACTTGCTTTTTCTACTCAGTATGGAAATTAGTTGAAAATTGTCTAGATTTTCCCTTCATTTTAAAAAGAAATATGGAGTTAAAATTATCAAATCTTAAAATTTAAAGAGAAATTTAGTGCAAAGATCTTATTTAAACTTAAAAATTGACAATTTTTTTTAAGAAATTAAAATATTTCTTGTTATAGCATGAATTATGTATAAAATTATTTTTTAATATTCTCTCTAAATATAAACAAGTTACAGCAATGTAGCAGTTTTTTAAGAATTGAGCAGTGTAAAATATTTGTGTTTCATTTAAATACTTGGTTGTATAGGGGGTGTTAACTTCTGCTGATAAGAGCTCCTAATGATAGGAGGCTAATGAAATTTGGTCATTTCACCAAACCTCCAAAATAACTTTTACGACTGTAAATTTCTTAATTCCGTGGTTATTTAAAGTTTTTGGTAATTGAAATTTCGTTTACATTTAAACTTCGTCAGCATTTGTTAATATAGACTTCTGTGATAGATATTTGAAAAGCACGCACATAGCTCAGAGGTCCTGTGTGTAGGAATTAAAATGTTCGGACTGATATGAACATCGTTACAAGTTTTTAAGAATTTTGTAAAATGAAGTTTTTGTTAATGACTCGGGAGGTTTACTGAGATTTGCGCAGCAAATAGTTTTGAAACTTCACCCAATAATATCAAACACTGCCTCTAACTAAAGTAAAATCCCTATGTTAATTTGACCATAAGAGTAAAGACATTTTGTTTTATGTTTAAAACTAGACTTTGCATTGAGTACTTCATCGTCATTAA